GGATTGTCTGCGTACTGGCTGCGTATCGGTGATCTTTGAATTATCCCTAGATACAACACTAGTCACCAAGCTATACGCTAACATCGAAGATTATCGTAGTAAGATCGATGAAGAAGAAATTTTGTTTTCAGCAGGGACGATTTGGTTTATCACTGCCGTAGAAAACCATGATGACAGCAATATATGGATTGTGAAACTGTTGCTAGCTGAACAAGAGAAAGTATCTTCCATAAACCTGTTAGATCACTTGAAGAAGTAGGTAGAAAAGACGACTACTTGTACGCTGCTTACATTAGGCAATGTTCTGGTAGAAATGGATGAGTATGATAAAGCGGAAAGGTATTACAGGATGTTATATGAAGAATTAACAGAAAATGATGATTATAGAGCAGCTGCATATAACAATATCGGCCGTTTGAGATATGAAAAGAAAAATTATGACATAGCGCTGGAATATTTCATGAAAGCCCACGAATGTATTGGAAAAAGAAAAGATAGAATCAACCAAACATACTAATATTCCTCATTACACGTCACGTACATACCCTGAAGCAAAAGCACTCATACTCTTGTGCATTAAAACGCTTATTAACCGATGAACCTTCGCTCGTGAAATGTTTTAACAACATTGGAATTATTTATCATCTGGAAAAAGATCATGAAACAGCAGTCAATTGCTTTACTAAAGCATTCAATTTGTCGGCAATTCATAATAATATCGGAATGGTATACTACGCCCAAAATTCGTATGAAAAAGCCAAAACGCATTTTGAAAGGGCGTTCGAAAACGGTTTGAAAGCCTAACCAGTTAATCATCCGTGGAATCTAGACTTCAGGAAAAATGTTGCAGCTATAATTCGACTGACAGGTGCGAAATAGTTTTGAACAAGTGAGATTAATACCGGGACATACGGCATGAAACTTTACTTCAAAAAAACTCGTAAAGTTTTAGGATCTTAAATAGATTCGTTTTGTAAACGTTTTTTTACCATTTACTGGCCATTTATTGAACGTTTTATTTAACCTTTACTGGACGTTTACCGACTGATTACTGCCTGTTTTTAAACCGTTTTATGCAATCTGTGACCAGGTCTATGCCGTTTACTGAGTATTTTTTGGATGTTTTTTAACCGTTTACTGATCGTTTATTGGTTGTTTACTTACTATTTACTACCCGTTTTTGAACGTTTTATGCCACTTTGTCCATGCATACAAACTGTTTATCGGCTAGTTTTGAACACTTTTCTTGCATGTTCGAGCTTATTTGGCAGATGATGAATTCATTAAACTTTTCATAACAGATTGAATGCCTTGAGTCCTTCAGAAGGACTATTTTTTCATTGAATGTGTTATGTTGTTTTGTTTTCCAAACTGAAACATCATATAGTTCTGTTGAACTTTGCTATCAGCAACTACGATTTTATCGTAAAATGTATTAGAATAACATCTGAATTGATTTAGAGTCACGTTTTACGATAGTATCATACTTAGCAAAGTTCAACCGAACTATATGCTACTTCAGTGTGAAAAACAAAACAACATGACACATTCAGGGGAAAAAATAGTCCTTCTGAAGGACTCAAGGCATTCAATCTGTTATGAAAAGTTTGATAAATTCATCATCTGCCAAATAAGCTCGAACATGCAAGAAAAAACGACCACTTGTACACGTTTAACAGTTACCAAGTGGAGGTTTCTTGAGTTATCATCAACGATACGTTTATTACAAACACTTATAGACAAAAAATAATGGTTAAAAAGCAATGTTTACGCAAAACAAAAAAATAAAATTTAAAATCAATTTTATAAAATGTAGAACATAAGATACATATGGCAAAAAAATGTTTTTCCATGTTTATTCTACTTGTCCACCTTTCACAAATTGTGCTCTTGTATTCGAAAGTAAATCTCTAAATGATGGTAATAAAATAGTTCCATAATATATATCAAATGAATTTTTCGTAATTTTAAATTTATGTCTAATTGCTTCTCAAATAAAAGAAAAAAATGAAAATCAGATACATTGCTGGGTACTATAGTTAATCACACGAAAATTAGTATTAGTATACTGCAGAGTTGGAACAGAGCCGGTGCCGGTCCGATGTAAAAGTTTAGATCGGGCGGTCTCCACCGGTCTTTTGCCGGTCTAGAAATATTTTCCGGCCGGTGATCGACCGGTTTTAAATTCTTAGCATTTTTCTCTTCTTCGTTCAAGAAAACTGATCTGTTCTTCAGACATTAAATTTAAGACAAATGACTTAATATACAATAACCTATAATTATTTTGGTTTACTGATAAAAGCGTCTAAACCGCCCAGTTTTTTGCCGATTTTCACCGGTCTAAAAAGATTTTTGGGCCGGCCGGCCGGTTCGGTCCGGTCTGCTGTTTTGAACCGGTCGGCCCGGCCTCTAATATTTAGACCGGTTCCAACTCTGATATACTGTACGTAGTATGAATAATGCCTAAATAGTATTTTCTATATTCAATGAGTTTTTTTATTTGTCCTAATCGTATTTTAAATTCCACTATTGCGCCTAGATCAGAATAGCTAGAGTATGATACGCCCTACTCTTTCTTATTTTAAATGTGCACAAAAAAAATGGCATCCGGTCTATGCTTTTTTATTATCTAATAAGAGTCAGCAGTTCAAATCACTAAATCAAGTTCACAATGAAACGTTTCGGTCAATCTTTCTGCAGAATTTATCATCCTTTGAAAATTTTCTTTTTCTCGTACTTGAAAAGACTACTAACAACAATGAAAGTATATCGCATTCCAGTAGAATATTTATTTTTTTTATTGAACAACTTTTGACGTATGGCTATCAAAATCGAGCTTCCACTTGTGAATGAAATTTTGCTCGGTGTTTTGAAAAAATATCCAAAAAATGTTTTTTGCATTAGGAAAAGCTGTTATACAAAAAATTAACTGTATAGCGCATTATAATCCACAAATATACGTATGTCTGTTAGATATATTTTTGTGGATAAAAGTCAGTTATTTTTGAAAATAAGTATGGATCTCAACGAAGATGACGTTAAAATCTCTGCTAATTCCTCACACATCTATGATGTCGGACTATGACGCACATAGGCGATGGCGGACTATGACGAATAATTTGTTGCATGGTCTAACTATGTGACAGTATAAAGAAACCTTTAGAAATAAACGTCCTCTGCCATTGATACTGCGTGACTAATTCTGGCACACAGAGATGAAGGAAAATTTTTTACTTTCCGCCTTTCCTTTCCCGAAAAAAGAGAAACGAAAAGTAAGGCATAACTTTCTTTTGTGTTTTTCTCGATGAAGAAAACACTTTATTGCAAAACCAACTCCATATTCATGATCGGCGTCGAAAACCGAATCAAGTGAGGCGTTTTGCAAAAACGTGTCGAAAAACGTTTTTTTCTGCAAAATACATCACTTGATCCAGTTTTTAACTCTGATCACGAATATGGACTTTGTTTTGCAATAAAGTGTTTTCTTCATCGAGAAAAACACAAAAGAAAGTTATGCTTTACTTTTCTTTCTCTTTTTTCGAGAAAGAAAAGTCGGAAAGTAAAACTTTCCTTTCCCAAAAAAAAGAAAAAGTCAAGTTTTACTTTTCTATTTTTTGAGAAAGAAAGAGAAAGTGCCACCCCTAGTTCGTAACAAACAGACGAAAAAACGGATCATCTTTTCGGGCACTGATGTCGACCTACAGACAAGAATAACCAATATTTTAAATTGTTTTTTTTCGACAAATATACTCGAAGAAATGGGCAACATTTCCGTGAAAACTGTTTGCTGAAAGACCACTCCTCCGCTAAGCTATGGTTAGAACAAAGAAACGTTTGGACCGTACAGAAAATTATTGCAGCAGTAGTAAATGGGTAAAATAAGTTATAGTTTGATATTCTGAATTCGTTTTCGAATGAATTATGAATTTTTTGACTATGTCTCACCAGCACTAAAAACAAACATTGTCGATAACTCATGTTTTCATTTATTTCGAACTTTGGCTTGAATGGTACCAGGATCTTCTACGATGCCTACACCGCCAACCGTGGTAGATAGAGATTCAAGACTTGTGTATAAATGTACAAAATAAGCATGGTACCCATATCAAATTTTTCAAGATTTCAAGAGGAAAAAATGAGTGTTTTTTGACACTTTTCTGTCACACTGACGGAATGCCAAAAAATACATTATGCTTATATGCGCTTTCTTGCGCAGTACCTTTTCATGTAAAAATCAACAAAAAGCTATGCTTTTTTGTCTTTCACAGAATCTCTTTATATATCATATTACTGTGTTTTTTCAGTATAATTTTCGTAAAAAATGTTTTAGTGGGACAATACAAAAATAAATGGTGACACATGAAAAAACTTACTTCTTAAAAATGAAAAAATGAAAATAAAGCCAAGCCTAATGCTTAGATAAGCTCGGAGGCGAACCGAACGAAATCAGTTCTACGGGACGCAGTTATGACCACCAGCAAGCCAAAACATAATTTGAACACGTCGCTATAAAACAGACATGCAATGCTCTTTATCGTACAAATACTTCGTCTGCATCTCTTTCTGTTGTAAGGGAAAACATTTTTACTTTTCATCTCTTATTTCTTTCTGTGATATTTTTCTAAGAAAAAAGTCATAGCTCAGAAACGTAAAGCTAAAATTGTGAACGTTGGAGTGCATCCAAAAAAAATCTTGTCTATCAACGTATTTTTCTCTTGAATTTATTTTTCAAGGTTTTCTCTTATTTGCATAAAAAAACGTCATTTCAATTCTTTGATGTAAAAAAGAAACTGCAATTTTTTTCGAGTTTTATGAAGAACGATCGTTATTTTTTCCTTTAAAATGCTTCTTTCATCACCTCAGTACACTTCAGGTAACAAATAAGCAGAATATTTTATTTTTCTCAACTAGTCATAAAACCATAAAGAGCTTTATTAAAAAATATGTTGTTGTGAAAAAATATCGCCAGTATAAAGGTTTGTAAAACTTAGAAGCTCAAAATGGGAAATAAAACTTTAACCATATTCGGACAGAAACAATCGTCCTTTACTAAACAGAAGAGCAGCAGTTCTCAACCTGGTACACCGACAACTCCGATAGACAACAGTAGAAGTTTTGAATCATTTCTACTGGTCTGGCTTTCTCCAGACGTTAATACAAATCCTGGAAATTTAGCGACGCAGGCAAAATTACGTAACATCATTACGTCATTGATAACGTTTTCCGACTGTGAACAGTGTGAGCAATGGATAAGTAAAGAAGAAAGCAACGTGGAGAAAATTATATTTATCGTATCTGGCACCTTCGGACAGAAGATTCTACCTAAAATTCACGGTTTACAACAATTAATCGCTGTTTATGTCTACTGTGCGAATGTTAAACGACATGAAGGATGGGCATCGAATTATACAAAGGTAAAAAGTACACAACGATTTCTGAGCATAACTTTGACAGAAAACAGATATAAAAAGTGTGTTGTCGTGTTACAGTATGAGATAAACATTTTTCATAAATGTTAAAATAAGAAGAAGGACAAGAACACATACGAACGCATTAAGATAAATCTCAACATGTATTTTTGCAATTTATTCAGAAAAAGCACAGTATAGCGCTACCTACATTGGATACTTTAAAGCATGATGCAGTTGAACTGATTCCAGGCTTTATTTTATATAAAAATACATAAGAATCCCATCATTTTGCATATATAATAATTTTGCTAGTTGTAGAAGTACCTTTTAGTATTTACGTTAAGATAAATCAGTTCAGAAGTATTGTTAGTTATTTTGCTTAAAAAAAGTATTTTTATAGCCTTTTCTTGATTGATTATGATCAGTTTTAAGTATAATATCCGAGTTTCGGTTATATATATACCAGAAATATTCAATGACAAAACAAAAAAATTCTGAAGAAAACTTAATTTATTTTCTTGTCTTTTTATTGCAGGTACGAACCGTAGTTTCATTAACGGATAAGTTAATCGAACAAATCTCCCTTGACCAAAATTGTCGAGAGCTAATGGAAGACACAAAAGCTCTCCATTTTACGAAGACTGATGATTTCTTGAACAATCCTCATTTTGTGTGGTATCGATTGTTTATAGATTTATTATTACGTACTGGTGTTCAACCTTCTAAATCAGACTTCGTTTGTATGTTAGAACAATATACAAAGAATGACGTCGAGGGTAAATCATTAGTTAAAGAGTTCAGCAAAACGTATGATTGGAATCGTGCTTTGTGGTGGTACACACGTGATACTCTGCTTAATCGTCTTGTTAACAAAGTTCTTCGTGAGCAGAACATTGAAATGCTGTTCATACTCCGTTTCTTGTTGGTAGACATTTATAAACAGTTAAAATATATTTCGGATTTTAAACGTGGTCAAGAGCACAAACTTCTAGTGTATAAATTATTGCCGATAACGAAAGAAGAACTAAACAAGATGAAATCAAATATCGGACAGTATTTATGTATGAACGGCTTTTTGTTTGCTACCCGAGATTCAAAATTGGCTGCTGAACAAGCAAAACTTTTCACTGTTGCAAATGGTGAATTTGTTCTATTAGAGATTGACGTCGATCTGAATGTTAATTATATGATACCTTTTGGTGATATAAGTCATTTAAGTTATGATCAAAACCCTGTCAACCAATTCTTATTTATGTGCGGCTCCATATTTCGAATTAAATTCGTGGATTCTCCTAATAAAACAAAAACATGGACTAAAGTTCAATTGTTATTAGCCGATCGAAATCATGAACTAGACAAAGTACGATACAAATTTGAGGGGGAACAAGATCCGCTTTTAATTGGACATTATCTAGAAGAAGCTGGCGAGCATAATAAATGTGAAATATTTTATGAAAGAATGCAGCAAGAATTACCAAAAGATAGTTTGGCTGCTAAATCCTGTCAAGAACAATTGAACCTAATTCGAAATAGTAACAAGGAGCCGATCAAATCCTCAAAAGAGATAACAGGTAACATCATGTACAAATTTATTTTATTCGATTATTAGATAACAGTAAGAAAAGCTTGATAAAAAAACAGATTATTTTTCCTTTTCTAGTTCAACAGAAAGAAAACGAATCATATATTTTAAAAACAAAATTCATCCTTTTCGAATTAAAACCGCATTTAACCGAAACTACAAAGTCAATATTAACAATATTACAAAAACTCGTTCCAAACTCTATAGAAATATTTGAAACAGCAACTGAATACGAGAAGTTTTTAAAATCGACAAGTAACAGTCAAATTATTGTGTTTACCGATGGAAAATATGCGTCAAAATTTGTGTACGATAAACAAATTGATATGCAAGTGTACATGTTGTGTGAAAACAAAATAGATGTTCATACACATTCAAAATGTATAAAAGACCAATTCGATAATATTGATGATTTACTGTGTCAATTGACTGATGAAATTGTATGCGCATATCATAAAGAAGCTAAAGAAGATGAAAATCGGGGCGATTCGATCAAAGCAAAGGAGAAGCTTGCAAAAGCTGAACAAGTACACTCAGAAGCAATGAACGTGTACAATCAACAATTGGGTAAGAAATCACTCTAGAATGGAGTACACAGGTTCGCCAATTGATCTGCAAAATAATGAACTATATGTATAACAGCTTTAAAGTATGTTTTCTCATGTTAAATGTAGTGGAGAGTGACAAGGTCATCTTTTTCCAAAAAAATATTTTCTAACGTAGCATTTCACAACAAATTACAAACATTCTCTCTGCTAAAAGAAAGTCACTTTTGGGTAAGTCCATGTGAAATATTCCACAGTTTACAAAACATTTTCCGTGTCACTTAAAACAGTCTAGTTTTACAGAGTTCATCGAGTTATGTCAAAAATTATAGTTTTTTACTTCACAACTGATGGAGAAACCGAGAAAAATGACTTTTACTCTCCCAGCAAAATTATTGGAGTCCCTTAGCTTGCGTAATGAAGTCGATACTTGGCTTTTTTCAAAGATAAATTTACTGGTAAGTGTTTGTCTAAGCACTAGACTGACTGAATGCAAGTAAATTTATTTGAAAAACTTTCTTACAAGACGTGGTTCACCTGGGAACTAATCAAGTACTTGCATCAGCAACTTGTCCAGCTAACGGTCCCCTTTTTCAAAAATTATTGCAATGAAGCTATAAACTAATCTAAAATTGCAAGTAGATCATTAAGGAGATTAAACATATACATTTCTCTATAAAACAAAAAGTGTCCGTCGATTCGTTATGAAAATACAGCTGTTGTACAAACAGCCCAAAAGATCGATTTGGGGCTATCTGAAAACCGTGTATACCAGTTTGTAGAAAATTGTTTGTTCTGCAAGATGTAATAGCTTGTCAAATTAATCTGTATTAAATCAAAGACAACCACAAAAACAGTAACACTGTGATTCTCTTGACCGTTTAAAAGAGCGAAAAAAGAGGATCGTTAACTGGACACAGTCGTTGGGTTTTGATAAAAAAAACAGTTTTCTATAGTCTTTCTTACAGTTTGAGTTCGATTATGACCATAAAAAGCTGCTTTTCCAAGTTTTTATGTGGTGGCGGCGGTCGTAACTATGGTGCCACTATCATTAATAGCTAACTGACCATTGCTCGTTATTTCTGATGTAACATTTTTGTACCCGTGTTCATGAACGGTGAAAAAGTTCAATATCTCATGAACCTTATATGGAACATTCTTCAAAGTTTAAAGAATATAGTTCTTGTCCCACTCTTTAATAAAAACCCTAAGGACTTTGCTGAAGAAACGAGAACATATTGTAAAATTGGTCGCTCATTAACTCGTGGGGATTCGATAATTTTTACTTGGAGAGTAAAAGTCATTTTTCTCGGTTTCTGCATCAGCTGTAAAGTCAAAGAAGACAATTTCTTATGTAATTCGATGAGCTCTTTAAAACTAGACTAGTTTTAAGGAAACAGAACAGGACGCTGTAATGATGGGATATTTCACATGAATGTGTCCTTTTAACCTATAGTGATATCAGTATATGTGTATAGTATTTATGTATCAATTAGACTTTATTTATTTCAGAACCCGAAGCTCATAAAGATTCTTCGACATTACCACCTATTTACATTCGTTGGCTCGGTAATAGACGTGACGGTAACAATCGTGTTTTGCACGAAAAACTCAACCAGGTCAAATTAATCAATCAAAATTTAGAGATATTTCATGATGAACAGGAATGCTACGAATCTATACTGACATCTACAAACGAAACCCAAGTCTATCTAATTATCTCAAGTGATCACTTCGAAATAAGAAATCTCGTCGGTTTACTTGAACTCCCCAACATCACCTTCATCTACCTATTCTCACGTACAAAGAATGACATTATTTCGGCGCTTCTGAATGATAGTGATAGAACTCGCGGTCATTTTTCAAATCTTGATGATCTTTTATTTCAGTTGGTTCAAGATTTGATTCAACATTATGGACAGCAAGGAAAATTAGCTAGTCTTTCAAAACAAACAGAAAAGGCAAAAGGAAGTTATCGAATAGCTAAACAACTATGTCTTTTACTACAAAATTATAACTGATGAACTTTTGTGTTGAAAAAATAAATGTATTTTTAACTTGTATCTATCTTTTACTCTTATGCTTTTCTCATAACACTTTTTGGTAGCAAAAAGTTTACTATCATCTGTGATATTGTTTTATTTCAGATGCCATTTTTACCAGATTTACGGTTTGATGCAAATTATGGGATGTGTCGTATATCTACTGTTCTTCTTCATGCAGCTGACTCAAATGAGGTGTACATCGCAATTGAACTGAATAATATCGGTGTCCTTACATTCATTAGATTTTTCGACAATACCAGGGACTGTGAACAATTCATCGCAAATAATCCAACAAAAGAGATTACCCTGTTCACATCGAGTCGGAATTTAGCATCATGCATCCCTACCTTGAATAACAGAGTTACCAAACAACTTGCGACCATCTATGTATTTTGTGAAACGGTGGATCAGTTCAACTCTACGACAAGATGGTCTCGTCGTTATAAGAAAATTTGTACAGTAATGATGTACAATGACCTAGAGTATACTCTTATTTGGTATGGTATTAATCACTGCAAACGTGTTCGGAGCGAAAATATACAGAATGTAGGATTTGCTGAAATAGTTCGAAGGGATGCAGAACAATTAGCTCTAGCATTAGCCGAATATTTTCAACAACAAGAAAATAATGTAGTCCAAGAGGCTGTGCAAGTATCATAAATATTTTGCAATAAAGGGTTTTAAAATACCACTGCTTTATCTACGGAAATAATTAGTTACACGAAACACCGCCATAGTGCTAGATGTCAGCTGAGAACACATACGGTGTGTCAGTTCTTCGATGGTTCGAAATGAAATGAGATGCTTGTGATTTCTTGCTAAATGAATCATTTTTCTACCGCTTTCTTTTCTAGACCAAGTACCTCACTGTATCTCTACTTCGGAGTCCAAATGCTGTAATTTTGTGCAGTCTCAGTCTCCTCAAATAAATAGAAATTGATAACGTGGCTACTTATCAGAAGGGAATGCTGGCTTGTACGACTAAAGCGTACTAAATTAATATCTGACGTCGGCCATTCGTGTCATTTAGTACTAATTGTCGTACATGTAGGAAATCAAACCTATGTACTTTTGTGAAGCTACAAAAGTGGTTTATTAATGATCAATTACAATTCGAGGACTTAAAAGCATCACTTGAATTAGTAATCAATAATGGTCTATTAATAAATGGACATTATTATTGATGACAACGTGACACCAATTAAAACCGGAAAAATTCCGGTTATGTACTGCATCAACCCCAATCTTTTTGATGTACAACAGATTTGTGTATGTTTGTCAAAGAAATTGATGAATGTCATTTCTACCCTCATTGACGAAATTGAACGCTTTATGACTGAATTTTAAGAAAATGAAACTATCGTAGCTTTTATGCAAGGACGGTCGATAAGCCGTAGTAGATTTGCGACATGGACCAAAAGCGTACTAATTAATGATCTGTGTCGAGATTGTCTGTCCAGTAAAAGAATTTTGTGGTTCAAAATTATACAAATTGATTTTGTGGTTTTTGGTAAATTTAGTTGAAATTCCTGTGCAAAGGTTATACTCATACGAGCGATAGAACTGATTCGACATGTGAACATGATCGAACAATAAAATGTAAAGAGAGAATTAATACGGATAGGCAGTAACACCACTGTTTTGCTCGAGTGCGTTGTCTATCCAAGCGAAGTGTCGAGTTACGTGAACAAGCTGTGCATACCTAGTTGTAATAATGCAAAAAATTGCGCGTGTTATACCATTAAAGGCACAAAACGTCTGACAAATGACGCGTCTTGACGTACTTAGTACGCATTTAGACGCGTTTTCTTAGTAGTCCTACTTGAATCGCCTCATTTCGCGTTTTTTCAAGCAAAAGCTCAAAAACGCGTTTAGTCGCGTTCGTATAAGGCGCGAATACGAACTAAGGCGACTTGTTTTACGAATTGCTAAGCTTTCTACAAAATACCCGCGTTTCTTCAGACGCAACCAAGTTATATGGGGAATAAGATTAATTGTTTACACATCTTTTATCAAATGTTGGTCTTTTTAAAGAACTTGATTCTAGCAGAAAACCGTCCTATGTTCAAAACGACGGTCACTTCCTAATAATTAGCTTAGTTGCACAGTTTTCTGTAACTTTTGCTTTTGTTATTAATAAGAAACGTCGAGACTGTTTTTGCTGGTAGAAAAGTGAAATAAACCATCAGTCTTTTTGAAAATATGTGACTTTAGTTCGCAAAGTGTCTTAAAGTGAGACATTTACACAATCATTTTGCTCTCCGACTTCAACATCGTAAAAAAAATTGTTTCTTGTTTATAGTGTACATCGAAGAAATTTATTGAAGAAATAAGACGTAATATATTGCCGTAGAGGAAACTTGAATCAATTTCATAATCAACATTATTGCAAAAAAACAGTTTTGTTATTTTAGAACAGCATTTTCTTCAGAATGAAAGTATTTTTCTTTTTAAAGGAAAAAATATAAAAGAGAGACTTGATCATCAGCATATGGAAGAGATCCAAGCTCCATAGAAATCTAGATCATACTTAAGACAATCAAAAAGTTTGAGCTACACATAAGAATACTTGCTTTACGGAAAATGAAAAAATGTTTTTACTGCTTCGTAGTTATAAAAGTAACTAGCATTGCTAAGCAAATGAAATAAAGAACCGATCACCTTCGATAAAAAAACAAGAAACTATAATGAGCTCTAGAATATTATAACGTAGTTATACAAACTGATGTTTCCTATCGTCCGTCAAACGAGCTGTTAATATGTATGTGATCATTTCCTGAGAAAGTTGTCTACAATGTTACGTTTAGGCAGTCTCGTTTCAATTACGAGCAAAACAACAGATAATATTGTGCTTAGCGGATTCCAGTAGAACTGTTGAATGGTATGTTTTCTAGTATATTTACTAGTCAACGAATCATTTTACTGATGCATTTTCGTTTTACGCTTGCACTAATACTATCTCTTTGATCAAGAAAGTTACACAATTATAGATAGAAGCAACATATTTTTTAGTTAGTCATGCAGTAACAATCGTAAAATATAAAGCGAAAATATGGGAAACAGATAAAATTGTGCAAGATATTAGAAATATGCAGGAATTATGCGGTGCGTACCTTTGTAAGTTGGAGAGTGCCAACTTCAGTGGTCATTCTCTATGAGAAGAAAGAAAAAAAATGAGTAAAAGGATCGAAAAACACAGTCTGTTTAATCATAGCACATGTCGGAGAATAATAACAAAGAGCGATACTCTTATTTGTTTATTACAACAACAATACAATAATCACATCATTGTATATTAAGTGAACTTTATGATTAATAATGCACTTGTACAGGATATACAGTGTGCAAAGAATTGGCGGGATTTGAAACGTTAAAATCAGACTAAATTTGATTTGTCGTATAAAACTGTTTTCCATTGATAATGCATCAGTTGTGTTCTATGACATCGGCTTCAATCAAGCAACATATTTCGACAGAAGTAACGATATAGCGCTTTATCAAGAAAACTCAAACAATTATAGAAAATAGAATAGTTTTTGTAGTTAGCCATGCGGTAACAATCGAAGGAAATGAATAATATCTCTAGCATCTATTAACTTCTGAAAAAAATTAAAAAAAGAAATAGTAGAACATATGTAATTAACAAAGAAATTTCTTTGTGACTCACAAATTGTGACTTTGGAATAATAATGGTCACGTTTATTGTCTCAACAAAAAATTTGAACAACCTTTATATTTTATATTCAAGAAGGAATAATCACGTAAAGTGAATAATGAACCATTAGATCGGTAACGTATTATGCCATCCTATGAGTAATATAATTTGGTAAACTTTCAGGATATAAGACTCAGGTTGCAAACTGCTGTAAAATAAGGTTCAATGTAATACTGTTTGATGAAAAACAGTTATTCGTGGCAGCATTCTATCATCAGCTGATTCGACTAAGTCGAGATACAGAATATGCATAGAAGATGCGCTAAAATATGGACTTAAATAAAACACATTTGGAATATTTATATGTGTTATAACATGGAATATTTATAAAACACATTCCACATCGTCAACTGATCTGGGAGATAATAAATTAGCAATATGCAACAAATACTGTGTAGCTTCTATTCCGGGACGTGCTAAAAGTAGAGAAAAATTTAGTTCCTGATTTTGCTGTGAACTTCTTTTATGTGGGAGAGTGAATGCTAAACAAAGCAAAAGCAAATCCTAAAGAGTAGAGAACGCTTTAAGGACAGACAGAAACGTTTCACTGAATTAATAAAAAATTGCGAAGTCGAAAAAATAGAATCCTTTTTTGACTAGATACAATTTGAAAAATAAAAACTTACGAATTGAATTGGCTTTTAATTCTTCGTGTTTTTGCTGTAGTTTTGCATGCTCTTTTTCTAACTGTGTATACTATTTTGCTAAACGATTGAATTTACCAATAATCAATTTGATTTGATTTGGAGCCGTCGGCTGCTCCTCAGCATCTTCCTCTCTTGCTTCGTCATCAATGAATTCTCTTGTATCGATCTCCTTTTTTTTAAAAAGAAGAGAACAAGCGGCAACTGACTTTTGTTGTGCTGTTGGTTTTTTTACTGTTGATATAGTAGGGATACATCACAACGGCAACACTTCGTCAGATACAACGGTGGGTCTCTGCCAGAATTCAACTAGAATCTCGGAAGTCGATATTGCCGTTCAAACACGAAAACACATCGCTGAAGACTGCCAGTGTTATTAGAGATCTTATCTTGTGACACACCAGCTCGACCGTAAATTGACACTTCGGCCAACTGTCTACTATTACCCTTATCAACTTCTCACCATAAACAAATATTCTCTCTCTGAAGAAATATTATTAAGCAGCTCACTCTTACGCCTTGTACCTCATCTCCACTCTGATCCACAGGCGATATGGAAACTTCCTTGTTTAAGGCCCATCCCTTGGGGTCAGAAATGCCGATGTTCGTCAGAAATATCGGTTTTCAGAAAAGCATATGATTGGATAGAATACAGAAACGAGGTTTTCTTACGAAAAACCTTCGAAGACCTTTTCGGATTTTAAAGTTCTATTAAGTACTACAAATCGGTAAACGAGACATTCCAAAATCGGGCTCTCGCAACTCCTAGCCACAAGTATTTACTATAAAACAAAAAAATCCCAGGTCTCTATCATTTACCTGAAATGGGAATTCTTGCACGTGATAGACGCCTATTTTTGGCTTTTGTCGACCCCGCCCCCTCCACACGAACAACTGTGCCTAGAACAAAAAACATTTTACTTTTTACTCTTTTTACTTTTATTTTCAATCCCTTTTACTTTGTTTCATCTACAGCACTTCTCTTAGCGCACAAAAACAATAGACGAAAATCAAACTTTACAAAAATTAGGTAAGTCTTTTTAGGAACTAACCTT